GTGCCCCCTCTCTCCCTCAAAGTTCTTACTGACAGCTTCCTGCCATATTCAGCGTCCTTTAATATCAATTACAAAGTCAAGTAGCTTGCTATAATTGAATTTGTGCTGTGCGCTGACGTCCCCTGTTAGGAATCACTGTCTTGTGCAATTAAGAGGGGCCTCATTATTGGCCAAACTGCGAGTAGCCCCATTAATGTGGGGGGAAGATTCTATCCTGTAACTGACGTATTAATGTTGACATCCTCCCAGAGTTGTGCATTGTGATGGGTGCAAAGACTGTAAATTTAATTGACTGTCAGGATGTCCTTGATTCTTCCTCCTGTAAGAACAGAGGGAAGTCCGCAAAGAGAAAGAAAAATAGAAGCTGTGGACCTACTGTAGCGGCAGTAGATAAATACACAGGGAGAGACGGATGATGAGCAGCTGCACAATAATGGGAACCAAGGTCTTGTTGTGGTGGCGTGTTTTATTTACAGCTGCTCTTCATCAGAGTGACAACCTGGGCCCTCGGACCATCCTTAATAGAAACTAGAAGCAGAGAGGGGATTCTGTATTCCATTTCCAAATGGGAACACATGTTGCAGACCTTGCTTTTTACATATGCATGAGAGAACAGAATGATGCGTTCACAGTGAGTGAGTATTATGGGTAATGTATTGCTGGAATTACTGGGAGACTGTGGAAAGGTAAGCATCATTTGTCTGGGGACTCATCAATGTCTGGTGAAGAAATAGGGACTAATGACTGTGCAGCAGAGGGGAGGGGAGAGACTAAATTTGTCTCAATCAATGTCACAGAATATGATCATGAATCTACAACTGTCATCAGTGTTCACCGGGGGGACATGTGTTAACAGTTTTGTTAAGGGACGACTTTAAGTGAATATAAAATAGAAATCTTTAATGCAATGCAGTACCTAACTGTAAATGCTGAGGCAACCAGTTGGTGGATGGAAAAGCTGAAAAGCTGCTTGTTTTTGAAAATGACATGACTGTTGTGAAAAGATTGAGCTGTTGTCCCTGCAGTGTCCAATGGTCAGTGACTAACAGCAACGCTGTCCCTGGTTGGCCTCATTAGAAATCAACCACGATCAATAAAAACACCTGACAGCCCTTTTTTTTTTTTTTTTAGAAGAGTTTCCTAACTGCTGTGCTGATATAGGAAACAAAAAAGATCTTTTCTGATTTCTTACGTATCAAATGAGTGTTAAAATGAATCAAGTAGGCACTGAGAGGAAATTCACTGAATATTATTCAGCTTTTCTCAAAGAAGAAAGCTGGTTCATCCAAGAGCTCAAATGCTGGCCTTGTGGTCACCGTAACAAACAGACAGCAGGTCCAATCCTCAAGACACCATGTGCGTCATCAATAGACCTGCTCTGTAAAACTGCTCCTAGGCAAGAGGCATCACAGTAAATCACTGCGAATAACTTGAGTTACCTAGTTCTAGTTGATGTAGTGGTAGCTGCATTGGGTATATCTGAATACCAAAAATAGTTAGACATAGCAGAGTTCAGGCATAATGCAGATGAATGGTGATGCCATTGAAATACTTTAAAAAACTACTAAAGTATTTAGGTAATGTTCAGACTGTTTAGTCATTTTTGCAGTGTGTGCACATGCCCTTTTTATTTTACTCTGTATTCAGGTCTGCCAAAAGTCGTTCTCAGTACCCTCCAAAGCTCCTTCTCACTCTGATTGTAATCCATGTTCAAAGGTAAAAAAAAAGAATAAATGCATAGTTATTACTTTAGAGAGTCTAAAGTGAGACCTTACATGAACTCAAGTTTCTATTTCATATCACATAAAATGCAGCTCTGTGGTGCACAGAAAGAGGATTCTGCTCCATTCAGCTCACTGCCAAGTAACCAAACGGGCACATGCAGGGATTTCTCACATGGCTCCTCCAAGCATCTATTGTGTAGTACGGTACAAGTGGCCAACAAGGGAGCTTATTGTGTGTTTAAGACAATAACAGCACCACAGCCCATTTTCAGAGAGCAGGACCTTTTTTTTTTTTTTTTAAATGACCAAGGACAAAAAAGCGAGATAGAAAGAGAGCAACAAAGCTAGAGTTTGTCCATGGATCACTCACATCCAGAAAAAGATCTAATTCACTTTTCATGAGAGAATTGACCAGACAGATTTCTTAATTTTCATAATTTTGCAATGCACGTACAATTTTTGCCAAAAGGTGGGATATGCAAAACTCCAAACATATTTTTTCTAGCATATTTTTACCATTTAATGCCAGCAGTGCTCTACAGAAGGAAACACACCATTGTCAAGTGCCTTGATGAAGGCCAGTTTATACAGTAGTTGTGTCACTTTCCACATGCAGATTTTTCCACTGGGAAGGTGACAAGCCCACTTCGCTGATCAAACAACACTGATTTACAAGCAACTGGGATTTGAAATTCCTGCTGTAACCAGTAAGATTAAAACTATGCACAATCTCTTTTGTAACATATTGTGCTCATTAGTGAGATAGCTAGTCACACATATAGCTGTGACTTGACACAGATACAATGTTACTGGAGAGAAAGAATCCCTTCAAGCTACATGAAATCAGATTTTATATAATATCAGTCATGATCAAAAAGCACTCATCATTTTGCACTGAAACGAACATGGACAATAGCCTCAATAAACCAGAATGCAATGCAGCTACAAGACGCTTCACATCGGACAAATGGCATAGAGTTCAAACAGAAAATAACTTCTGGAGTGAATTGTACATCACGGATTGACCATCATCGACTGATAATATCCAGCAGTGTAAGAGCATCCAAGTATGGGGTCTCACTTTAACATCTAACTTGATGTGCTGCATTAAGCAGAAATATATGTAATTATTCTGTTCGCCCAACCATTCAGGCCATATCAGCATTCTGACAAAGAGGAACCACAGCAGAGGACAAATGGATACGTTCTCCTACATATGCATGCTGAGGATTAGTATGGCAGATATGCATTGTATGTTTTTGCACCGTTCCACCCCGAGTACAAATGCAGACAAAGCATTACTCAAAGAGGAGTGTTTTGAATTTAATCATCTACAGATAATAGCAGGGCACATGCGGCACTGTGCAGGGGTTTCCAGAGTTTGTGTGTGTTTATTTGTGTGTGTGAGCCCAGTGAAAGGGAAAGAGAGTGAGATAGTGGATTCATTGTCCCTGAGGGAGTCAATCAAGTCATTACATTTCTGTTAATGGGCTGACACTTATAGGTTTGATATTCTTTAGTCAATTTCTTTTAACAAAGGAACAAACAAACAGCGCTACATGTTTACAGAGTTTTGAGCAACAATTTCAACTGGAGCCCCATATTTTTCCAGACAATATTAGAATGGAATAATTTGGCTCTAATATAGAAAATACAAACATTACAAGTAAAACTTTAACAGCTGGATGACCTGACCGAAGCGTCAATTGTCACATATTGCAGGTGGTGACAAATTTTAATTTTAGAAAGCCATATTGCAATTGAAGTTTAGGGTTTTATACATATGAGACTATAAGTCTGATTTTATCCAATCCAATAAATATATGACCAAACAAATTTCAGTTTTTTCTCGGAAACAGAAATTAGGAACCCTAATCCCAGAAAAACATTCCTTTGAAAATATACCTGCTATGATACCAGGATACTCACCTTCCAACACCCACTGCTTTTTGCCATTCCATAAAAATCAAAGCAATGCCATTTCAAACTGGCTTTCATTGCCTAGAATCCCTTTTTACAGTGGTGTTCTAACTTGCAACCAGCATGGTTTCTAATAAAGCTGTACAATCTAAAAGAGAAAGAACAAAGGACAGGGGTCTGGCTCGAATGGGGTGTTCATTTATCAGTGGACACGTTTCAAATCCTTGCTCCAGGCAATGGCTCGTGAAGCATCCGAGGAGATAGCCCATAGGGACTTCTGCTGGAAAAGCAGAAAGCCCTTTGATGAGCCTTGGGCCATTCCTGCACCTGTGTCTAATATGCATGGGTAAAAACCCAGACGCAAGCAGCCTCTGGGAAGTGAAAAAACAGACTGGCAAAAGACTTCCTGTATGTTCCATATTAGCCAATGTAGTTGTTCCTTGAGCTTACATCCATAGTCCTGTAGAAATTATTCTTCAGTCCACAGAGGTATGTGGTACTGGTGCAACTAGTGATACATGGATCCAGAAAGTAACTCACTCATATACTCATTAAGTTGTTCACTCACTCACCCACATTTTGCCCTTGCACCTAGGAGGCTGATTTAAGCATGGGAATGTTAATACCCGTCACTGAATCATCAATCACTCAATCATTGGCTCCCCCCTCTTTCTCCACTACTACAGTACTAAGGAACTCAGTAGTCGTCAATGCATTTAATGGCTATGTTTGCCAATATTGAAAACCAAGCTAAATAACTCAAGTTTGCACTATTAAAAAGGAGATTCAAGCCAAATAATGAAGATAAAACAGATTAATAATGGGACCACCACCTCTAGTTTATAGGTCTCTTGTTATGTGATTAAGCGGCATGTTGCAAACCGTTCAAGAATAAACAACTCAGCGTTCTTATGATATTCTACAATGAATTAAACAAGATTATACCATGCAACTGATCAGCAAAGATCCACAATGACATATTCGATCACCACTCACTGCACTTCAAATTAAATTTCTGAGTGTTTGTGGACTTAAAAATCAAGCTGTTAAAAGATAGGACAGCTCTGTTTTTCATCGTAACTGGTTGGAGTCTCCAAGTACAGCAGCACAAGGCCATGTGATCCCTCTGCTGTTAACTTAAAATGATTTGTGCTTTCAGGCCAAAAAAAACAGAAGAGCCTTGAAATCTTGGCAGGTTCCAGGGAATCAAACGTCTGTACCAATTAATATAGCTGTTGTAAATATTTTGGATACTGTGAGTACAATAGAAACTTGCTTACTTTTTTCCTCTGTTTTCAGAATTGTCTTTCATTAGAACAGAAGTTACAGTAGTTGCAGTAAAAAGACAAGACTTACCTGAGCCTCTCTTTGACACCACTTTCAGGCAATGGACCACAACGGCATGAAGCAGGATCAGAAGAGGAATGGGAGCTTTCATTTTTTACCAGTCCTACAAGGAAACAAAAGCTTGCATTATTACGCCGTACTGAGGCAAACTGTGAATACACTGAAACCATCCAAAACATCAAAAAAGAGAGATAATGATTTTGGCAGTAGATGCTTGATCAAAGCTTGAAAATATACAGTATATATCTAAAAAAACTTGAGTTCTGAGCCAATAATAAGAACTTTTACAAACCCTAAGGTCAGATGGAAAAAATCCTGCACCTCAATGTGCAAATTCTGCTCTCCAAAGCATTTGTCTGCCTGCTTTATTTATACCAGTGTCTCTTCAGGGACTTACTGTATAATGAGGGCAAGGCTGTTGATGATACAAATGTCAAGACGCATTTCTATCAAGGCAAACCTGAGTTTGCTGCGACAACACTAATCCAACTTCTCTCACAAACCAACATGACATGCTGCTATCATTGCTGCTGTGATTATTAATAACACTATTACACACATATGCATCACTATTATTACTATCATTATAACAAACAGTCTGTCATGAATGCAACAGTATGCACAGCTGTTCCCCCTCTCTCTTTCTTTTCCTTTCCCTCCTTTCTCTCTCCTCAACCCATCCAGATCGAGCCAGACGGGGAGGCAGACCCACTCTGAGTCCGGTTCTGTCTGAGGTTTTTCTCTCCACTGTCACAAAATGCTTGCTCATAGTGGGAACTGTTGGGCTTCTCTCTATAATATTGTAAGGTTTTGAGCTCATCCTTTAGTGACACACTCTGAGCACAAGCCCAGTCAAACATTGGATCCATTGATATCAGCTCATATCTTGGCCAATAAGTAACACGAATCTTCAGTAGAGATATGTCAGAGAAGGGTTAGGGTTCATTGCAGCCATCTACAGCTCTTGCTTATTATTGGGTCTCTCTACCTTTAGTCTGCCCTTTAGCAAGCAGAATAGAGCTCATTCGGACTGAGATCAGGTGACTGACTAGTGGAGGATATTCCACCTCTTCACTCTGAAAAGCTCTCCGGATGCTTTGGCCATATGTTTAGGGTCGATGTCCTGCTGAATTATGAAATGTTGCCCAATGACTTTTGATGGATTTGGCTGAAAGTGAGCACACAGAATACTCGGAATGAACCACCAGCATGTTAGACAGACAAGGTGGAGGCTTTAGACCAGGAACTCATTTTCATAGAGGTTGATTTTTATTTCATCAGTGCAGTGAACTTTGTTCCAGAACTCTACCGATTTCTTTTTGTATGTTTTAGTGAACAGCAGCCTGTTCTTTCTGTTTTTTAGGCTGTTGATGTTGGGGTGTTTGCATCTTTTCACTTGTTCACTTCTTTACTTCTCATATTGACAGAAAACTCCACCTCAATCTAAATGACAATTCACAACAACTCTGAGCCACATGTTAGCATGAAATAACATTGAAACAACACATAGCTGCCCAACAAACATTTAGCAGTCACATGTCCTACGTCTTTTGAACCCTTGTAGTTTGGGCACCTTGTGTTAAAAGAGCAGTATCTCCAACACAATTCTTTCAATAATGATGTAACCCTAGGTAAATTAAAGCTGTATTTTAAATTCAGTGCTCTGAAACAGAGATCTTGAAGAACGAAAAATGTGTAACTGCCCAATATACTTACATTCTGGACTGTACATACTGTTTATTCCTATTTTGGGGCAATACAAGCTTTAAATTATACTTTTGTCTGGACAATATCTTTGTCGGCCTTGGAATAAATATTAGTTGAACGTTTCACCAACAAGATGAAGCCATTTCCTAGTAACCGGTGAAATTAGTTCTACCTATTGGTAATAATTAAGAAAAATAATAATGCTGCAGTATAACAACCATGTGCTTTATCTGAGTAATGCACACCATCAAGCCAATCAGACATGAGGATAAACTGTCGCAGAAAAAAATCTCACTGCAGTCAAACTTTATCTAATATAAAATTAGTCTGAAGTTCATTTAAGTTAACAGTGATTACTCAGGTTTTGCCTGCAGCTAATAATATTCCTCAGTGATACACTTGCTCATTGAAGCCATCCATGAAACTGTAAAATTCCTCTTTTTGTTTGGCTAATAACTGTTCCCCTTGCTAGAAGCAAAAGTGCCATTTCTGCTATGGCTTGACAAGATGCCAGTGTAGGCTACAAGGATTCTTCCATTGGCATTTCAGTCACGACAAAGATGCTTCACATAGATTCCACAAAGCTGCATCAGAAAAGCTTTGAGGGGAAACCCTGAAAAGCCACAATAACCCTTGAGACACTCACAGAGGCATGCGAAACTGGCCAGGAGCCAAAGATGGCGACATTGCCGTGTTCTCCTTGTCAAAAGGCCTATTGTCGTCAGCCCTTGCTTCCTGCAACCAATGCCACCTCAGAAAAGCTACACAGCACCACACAAAAATCTTATCTTTTTAATTAGTTTTCCATGTTGGGCACAAACTCTGCAACAAAGCTGTGGTCTCCTCCTTTGGTTTGAACACAGAGGAAACGACTGAATCACCAGTTCTGCGGTATCCCTCCAGCTCACAGTGATATCCTGGACTGCTACACATCAAAGCAAACACTAGTTATCACTGAAAAGGTTAAAAAAGTGCTCTTGCTTCATATGCTGTGCCTGTATGTGTGCACAGAACAAAAACTGTGGATTATGGGATTAAATATATTAAAGAAACACCCATGAAAACATGACATCGTGTTTTGCAATAACCTTGTTGAAAGGAAAATGGCTCCAGAAGTGAGGTTTCATAAAGCCGTTTTCAAGGACACTGATCGCACAGTTTTTTCTCCTCCCAAGGTTAATTATAAATATATTGTTTGTGTCTTTTTCAGAGGCATAGATTAGGGTAAAGTTACAGAATTGAATGTTAACAATCCAACCAAAATAGAAAATCATAAAAAGCCAAACAAACAGAACAAACTAATACATTGTAAATACAGGTAAAGGGAAACTCTACATATAAATAATGTGCCACACTGCAGCTGTCTTATGATTGTCAATGTACAAAGCTAGTGCAAAGAAATGGACCCTGTGCAATGGCGTTGTAATTCATTATGAGTGCCATGTCACTGTAATTGTACATTGTGGAGCAATGAGAGCAAAAAGAGCAACAAAACACTGATGTTACTCAGAAGAAAAAGGGTTAGGCAACATCAGCTACATACTACAGCGAACAGAACAAAATATCACAATGGACTCAGTGTTTATGATTTAAAAAAGATATTCAGAGTTCACTTAAGGCTCTCTACTAATTATAATTTCAATCATTGATTAATCTGCCAATTATTTTGTTTAGTAATCAAACACTAAATATATTTTGTTGATAAAATGTCACAAAATAATGAAAACAATTCCCATTACAATTTTCTAAATGGCAAGGGGACTTAATATGCAGCAAGAAGGGAATTTTTGGTATTTTTTTCTTAAAAAATGGTTTAACACAATAGATGCTTAATCAACTAACTGCCAATAGAGCAGGGGTAGGTGAGGCGAGCGGTATTTGAGCATTCACTGGTGGTGGTGGTGTGGGGGAGTTAAAGTGGTGTTGAGGAGTCTTACAGCCTGAGGGAAGAAGCTGCCCCATAGTCAGCAGATTCTTGTGCATCTCCTGCCAGATGAACGGCAGGATGAGCAGACTCAGGCTGGACTAGGCTGTCCGTAACTGTTGTGTGGGCTCTGTGCATACACCTCATCTCACCAAGGCTGGGCAGTGATACAATAATGATGATATTCTGGGTGGATTTCAACATCAACTCCAGGTCCTGGGCCTCGTGTGAGTGGTGCCAGGTTGTCATGTGGCCGGTCGGGATAGATTACCTCTCTGTAGAAGTTTGGGGGAACCTGGAGCACACTGTACAGCACATGAATCTAACAGTATTCACAGTGGGAGCGTGTCTGCCTATCCAAAACTGTCTGTGGTCTGTTGGTGCAGGGGAAAGTCCAGAATCCAGTTACATAAGGTAGTACTCAGGACTACGGAGCTTGTCAAGCAACATTCAGACATAGGTGCTGTTATTTTTAACGTGTGAGGGTTGAGTGGAGTATAGTTGAGGATCTTTGACATGCTGGCCCACAAGCTTCTCAAAGCGCCTCAGAATGATGTGGCTGGGTGCCACAGGTTGGTAATCTCTGAAGCAGGATGCTGCAGACTTCTTAAGTAGAAGGACAATGGTCGCTGTTCTGTGGCAGATCAGGAGTTTTCCTGTGAGAGTGATGTGTCGAATATTGCAGTTAAGACATCAGCTAAATGCTGGGCACATGTCTTTATGCACAGCCAGCTTCACATTCACTCTCAGCAGGGTCTATCTCATGTCTGTATACACAAGGGCCAGGTCCTCTGTTGAGGACATCAAAGAAAGCATAAAAAGGTGCTGAGCTCATTCGGCAGCCAGGTCTCGCATGTATTGATGCAGGCATTCTTGCTTTTGTAATCCATTATTGCCCGCCACATGTCTATGTGGCTTTTGTGTCCACAATGACCGCTTTCCATCTCACTCTGGTTCTGTTATACACTTCCACCAACTCAACTGAAAGCCACATTTTAGGCTCTGGATGAGGCCCTTACCACAGTTGTCTGTATCATTACAGGATAATCAGCTGATTTATGAAAAAAATGTTGATGCACATTGAACATTGTTGCTATGGTTCTCTTGGGCACCATATCCAAGTCCCTGCACTCAAAACCGTAGGTCTGCTACAGTTCGATCAGTCCATAATTTAAGAACTGATTTTACTGATAACCTGGGTCTTTTAATTAGCTGAGATTAAGCTGACAAGAAAAGAAAGGAAAGGTGCTCTCAAGGAGGAGGAGAGGGCTTGTAGCCACCAGCAATGGTTGAATAAATATTGCGATGATTTCATTGTTCTACCTTTTCTACCAGATTACTGAAGTGTTTCCCCAAACACATTAAATGATAGTGGTTTATCTTCCATTTTCTGCTCCTGATGCTAATGCCTATTTAAGAAGGTGGCCACCTGTTTGAAGAAACAAGCAACTCAAGGGCTTATCGAGGTCGAA